CCAAAAAAAAACTACAAGTATGAAGACAACACACCAAGAACTTAAAAAGTTATGATTAAGGTAAAAGTTTGCGGATGACAACAACTATGCCGACATGACTGTAACAATACCTATATTTTTTTTTTTTTCAAACAAACAAAATAGTCAAGCTAAAAAATGCTCCTTAGGTCTGAATAAAAAGCTGGTACCATGCACTCCACTACTTAAAGTCGGAAAATATTGCAAATGCACATGGAGTTAAAGTAAAGAATCGGTTTTGATTCTAGCAGGATAAGATCATGCAGTTAGAAATAAAAATGGTGTTAAAATGCAACGCCACAACCAAAGTCAATTTCAATTTGTGGGCTTTAAATAATTCCTATTTTCAGCCAAAATGCTAATTATTGCAAAAAAGAAAACCAAACAAACAAGATTTCATGAACTTTAAGTGTGATGGATTTCTATTAAAGATATAAATAGTTGTAATTTTGTCAGAATTCATTTCATGGACCAATGAATATGATGGAAGCATGAAAATTAACACACAATGAAAAGTAATGAAATGAAAGTAAAAAGGGGCTCTGTTTACTTTCACAATACACAATTAATTCGAAAGTAGCAAAAAGAATATTGCTTTTAGCTGCTTAGCAATGCTAAGTGAATACTTTTGGACAGTTTTCTGGAACTTGGCACAAACATGTTCATCAAAAGAAACTTTTCCAAATAACGAAGTGAGGACAGTGACCTACTGTTGTATAGGATAGTGACTGATCTGATTACTAATCTGAGTTTTCAACATCCCTGTCATCTCCCTATTACCTCATTATACTAACATTAGTACTGGTTTTGATAATTGTAGAATACATGAAAACAGTTGACATTGACCACCCGAAGTGACCAACATTTATTCATCACCTAAGTGACTAAGGTTATCCCCTAAAAATTTCTTCTCTACACTAAGTTTCAGAAGATATGTCTGTCTAAACTACTAAATAGCTTTGCCAAAAGTATAACAAACGCCCATTTATGAACAAACATGCATGGAAGCAATAACTAAGTGATTAAAAATTAAAAGGCCCATTACGCCCCAGAAGTTTTTTTTTCTCATAAGTTTTTATATATTTTTTCTTTTGATTATTGATAATTGATTATTTTCCAAATTACCAAAATGCCACTTTCCTCAACCATCTTTTTTTTGTGGCCAGTTGAGACCAAAATTCTTCCCGTCTGATCATAATCTGCACTGTTAGCTGTTCAATCAAATTTTTGAAATTTTCCCCTCAAACTTTTCCTGTAAAAGCTCAGATTCTCTGTGAGCACTTAAAAAACCCTGAGAAAGCCTACACTTTACACGCCAAAGTCCCTCTTTATTTCTGTGGATCTACTTAAATCATTGTTCATAATATATAACCATATTGAATTCCATTCCATTATCACCATTTTAAATCAGATCTGATTCAGCTCTTGAAAACAAAAGCAAAAAAATATGAGCCGCGTCATGACAAAACCAACATAATGGGTTTGCGACCAGCATGGATCCAGACCAGCCTGCGCATCAGCGCAGTCTGATCAGGATCCATGCTGTTCGCATACAAACCCTATTACAAGTAGAGAAACTGATAGCGAACAGCATGGATCCTGATCAGACTGCGTGGATGGGCAGGCTGGTCTGGATCCATGCTGGTCACAAACGCACTATGTTGGTTTTGTCGTGACACAGCTCATAGTTGTACAAACACAATTTTCATATAAATTGGATATGAATCATTTCTTGATAATTAATTTATATACAATTCAAGCCAGTTGGCAATAAACATCTCGATTTCAAAATGAAAATATTTATTACAACAAAACCTGTCAAAACATGGGAGAGGTTATTTAATGGCGTATCAAATTATATGAGTAAATTTTTCATGAAAGTACACAGTCACTGAGAAAAAAATAAAACTATCTATAACTGGTTTCATTTAGAGTCTTTTTAGATTCACTGTGTCGATTTGCCATTACTATAGGCCCAGCATTCAAGCCAAATTCTGCACAGTCTGACCAGGCAAGCTGTTCTTCTACAGTGTTTGGTCAGGCAAGCTGTACTTCTGCAAAGTTTGATAAGGCAAGCTGTACTTCTGCACTGTTTGATGAGTTAAGATGTACTTCAGCAGAGTCTCACAAGGCAAGATGTACTTCAGCAGAGTCTCACAAGGCAAGATGTACTTCAGCAGTCTGACAAGGCAAGATGTACTTTTGCATAGTCTGACAAGGCAAGATGTACTTCTGCATAGTCTGCTAAGGCAAGATGTACTTCTGCATAGTCTGCTAAGGCAAGATGTACTTCTGCATAGTCCGACGAGCGAGATGCACTTCTGCATAATCTGACAAGGCAAGATGTACTTTTGCATAGTCTGACAAGGCAAGATGTAATTCTGCATAGTCTGCTCACAGACGCTTGGGGTTTGGAGCTCAAAACGCCTTTAAAATCCAAATAAAATGCATATTTGTCAATCCCAGGACATGTACTGATCATATATATCAAAAAATCTTAATATATGCCGTTTTGAAAAAAAATCATATTTCAACAACTATAATAATACACAAGATAAAAATGTTCGCCGGAAAAAATCCGCACCCCTACCGTCATAATCACCATGTATTTTAATCCATTTCCAATATTTTCACATAATCCTTTGGTCCATCGACACAGAAGATATAATTCTTCACGATGATGGTCAATTTTAAACTTCAACGGTAATATAAACAACGCAACAGCCGAAATAAACATCAATATTATCGCCGTTTTTTTCCAACGACAAAATCTTTCGATAAATTCAATGGACCAGACGGCTATGAACGAAGCTATCCGATTATGTGGTTCCCAAACTTAAAAGCGCTGCGCATTTTGCACACGGCAAAGTCGATTTTTTAAGTTTTTACTATATGCATATAGGGAAAATCAATGACCCTCTGGGGCCGGGCCAATTTTGACCCCAGGGCTTTTATTTGAACAAACTTGGTAGACACCCATTACAAGATGTTTCATGCTAAATATTTAAGCTCTAGCGCTTTGGGTTCTTTAAAAGAAGATTTTTTAAGTTTTTACTAAATGCATATAGGGAAAATCAATGACCCCCTGGGACGGGGCCATTTTTGACCCCAGGGCTTTTATTTGAACAAACTTTGTAGACACTAACTAGAAGATGCTTCATGCCAAATATCTAAGCTCTAGCTCTTTTGGTTTCTTAGAAGAAGATATTTAAAGTTTTTTCTTTTGGTTGCCATGGTAACCAGAGTTTACGGATGCCGGACGGCCGGACGCCGGACAAAAAACGATCAGGTGAGCTAAAAAGTGTATAGCATCAAAGGGCAATGAATTTCCTAGCATTAAAATCCTTGCTATGTACCATGCATTTAAAATTAAATTGAAAATTTGATAAAATATGTGGGTATATTCCATTGTCAGTTGTTGGAAATTGATTTCAGGGGTTCTCCTTTTTCTGCTATATTTTCACCTTTAGAAAGTTTTGAAAATTCAAAGAAAAAAAAATCACTGCATGTTTGCAAAATTGGCTGTTTTAGTAACTATATCATGTTAATTCTTGATAAAATCCTACTCATTTACTGTCGAATCAATCAAATTTAATAGTCTTCCCTTTCTTTCAAATATAAAAAATATGTGAATATTTTAGACTAAGTATGGTAATTGCATTTCCTCCTTACAGCAATGTACATTTATTCAGTATACTATGGTAGGCATATTTTTTTCAACTTTTACCTGATAAAAATACTGAAGTTGCATGCATAATAACTAGCAGGAATCATGCATGGTTAGTACCTGCCTAATTTTCACACTGAAATGTTTTTTTTTCCTTGTTACACCAACCTCAAAATAGACTACCCTTTGAAGTGTTGATGGTTTCGTAAGACTAATTAATATACCACACTGTGCACCCAAAATAAAGAGCACGTCCCGATAAAAATGATTTTTTTTTATCGCAAGTCAGCTAAAAAAACGTACTTTGCATTTGCCGCTGTATTCTCTTTAAAACCTGGTATTTATGAAAATGAAATAGAGTCTGACTAACAGAAATAGGAATGTTGTATAATTCAAAAGAAAAAAAAGTTCGTTTTTTCACCCTCGCCATTACACAGGCACTCAGACTCGATATTTACATTTCAATTTGTACGTTTTTCTGTGTCAGTACTTACTTATACATACAGTCATTATGGTTTTACAGATAGAAGTACAAAAATTGTTTTCTCTAAGTCCATTTTTCGATGTGTTATCCCTTCACCTGCTAAATTTGTCTAATGGAACTGCCCGACTTTGATTTTGGATCAGTCCATTCAAATTGTCTGAGGGTGAAATATTCAGAAATTAACTACCAACAGTTTTGAGACCGAGCATACGGCACAAATGTATGTTTACTGGTAGCGAGGGCTAGTCACTCTCCGTTCTCAGAGATTAAAGGTTAAGAAATCACGTTGATTGGTGATTACACATATAACGGGCTATAACAAATTCACCAAATTACAAAAAAAAACATGGAAATTTTGTATTTTATCACAAAATAACAAAGCAGGCTTTTCTAAATCTTAGGAAACTATCTTCCTTTAGGAAACTATTAGGCCAAACAAAAACTGTTTAATTTCTTAGGTGTGGTTTTTAGGCCACAAATATTCTACAATTTTATCAGTTCTACATAATTCTTATATATTCTTGTATATAAATCTCTACAGTCTGAGGTACCATAGTTTTGTAACTCATGGCTTACAACTTATAGTATAATTTTTTTCCATTGAAACAACAACTATTGCATTATACAGCTATTATCAACATTCTCTTCAAAGAAGACTTTTGCAAAATAATTTCAATATGGAAGTTCAAACATATTAATAACATTTGGTTTTTTCTCCTACAATCTATCCACTATTTGTAGTAGTTTGCAAAAATATTTATTGATACATGCCACATACGCATGAAACCAACCATAAATTACATCAGGCCTATGCCACTTATCTGTACTTACCACAAAGGTGTGTTTCCAAGATTTTTTCGGATTTTGCCGTAGACGTATTTGCCAGTATACAGTAACATTGGAAGAGAGAATGATCACAAACGGTTCATCAAAACCTGAAAGAAACAACAGTCCGTCTAAACTATTATAATAATATCACAATTTCTTGCAATTATTTCTTTGACAAATCAGTAGCTTTTTTTCAGCATAATTATTGTAAATAATGAAAATTTATGTGAGCTCAAGGGAGGATTCTTCGCATATCAATAATCAATATTTTGTACGAAGTATAATAAGAGCTGTAAATTTGTCAAAACACACTCTCAATTATTCCATTAAGTTTGATGGTACTGTAAGAGTCTTGAAAAAAAAATTTAAGTTTTACAAAGGGGAACAATTCAGTACAAAAAATAACCTGTTAAAGAGTTATGGGTCTTGATTAGTGACCCTTAAAATATCATTTTGATGCCATTTTGTAATGAAACAAATGAATTCATGGTTGTGAAAAAATAGAAACGCATACAAAATCTTAACAGCCAATAATAAGATATTATTCAGAGTTTTAAAGGCCCATAATGCCTCAGAAATACTTTTATTTTTATTTCTCAAAAGCTTTTAATGTTTGTTGCACATGTTCTGCTAGAGTTTCCAAAAAAGTACCTAAACTTTCTTTTCATCTGTTGCTGTTTTGGCAATTAGTACAGTTATAGTGAATTGGTATTTTTGTATGGAAGTCAAAATACTACTTTGTTTACATTTTACTACTTAATATAACAAACTCTTTCACATTTATCACTTAAAGTTCTTCAGGTGATAAGTATCTAATATTGTCTAAAATTCACTATTTTAAACGTTAAAAAATTCATGTTTAAAGAAGAAAAAATGAATTCATTTCTGACACAAAATGCGCCTTAAATCCCATTCCATTCAAAGATATAGAAGACAAAGTGCATTCTACATTATTTTGCCAAACTTTTAATTATGGCAATAGTTTTTTTTCTTAAATAATCAATAAAATTCAGATTTTTTGTTATCGAAAATATCAAAGGTAATAAAATCTATATTTTATATGAAACCACTTAATTTTGTGGCCAATGAACTTAATAAAGATTCTATCAAATAAAGATATCTCAAGAATATTAAAAAAATATCAGTTTATTTTCTACATACATGAATACGTTTGTTGTTTTTTAAACTAACAAAGTTCTAAACTTCTTTTGAATAACCTCTGAACTGTTACAAAGTAACCTTTAGCCTGATGGCAAATAACTGAAAATGCAGCCAGGGCGCAGAAACTAGATCCAACAGCTCAAATCAGTCAGCACTATTCGATAGTCAGTCAGTATTTCTTTTGAAATTCTCCTTAAAATTGATGTATGGCTTAGTCCAGATTGTTTGATAGACAAGTTCATTTAAGATATCTAGCATATTAAGGGTAAAACCACTAGTCCATTGTCATCCTAATTGAAATGAAATAGCCCGGAACGTTGAGATTATCAAAACCATCCGGAAAAATTTGCCCCTCCCTGAATGGTAAAAATCGCAGCTAAATTCCCCCTGTACTGGCATATCACCAACTATCTTTGGCACCAAAAATGAAACCTCTGCATTGAACCGGCAGTGCAGTGACAAAACAGAAGTGTAAACTTGACCCAATTTCCCCCGCTTTTTTTTTCATGCGCTCGCTACAGAACAGTCAACAGTAAAAAGTCCGGTCAGACTGGACAGGACATGCAGCCTGACTGACGCCTCAATTTTTACTAGTGTCATAGGAAAGTCTTTCGTCAATCACTTAGAATAACTTGATGAAATCATTATCAATACATATATTAATACACATTCTCATTTATCTGGGGGGAAAAAAAACGAAACCCATCAAAAAATAACTTGTATTTAAACAATAATTTGTCATTTTATTCCATAAACACCGTGCAGAAGAAAATATCCCAGCTTTGCATACTTGCCATGACATTGTAACTAGGTCGTGTTTCTTAAATAGAGATATTGATCACCCAAATCTTCTGTAATTCTGCTGGTTAGCCTTTAGAATCTATTACTAGTAACTTTCTCATCATATTAATCCATTACTAATAACAATGAATAAGAAAAAAACAAGAAGAATGCCATACAGGGTAGTTTAGGGTAGTTTAAAGGGAATTGGTCTTCAATGGGTACATTTTTCCGTATTAAGTGTTTCAAATATTGATAAAAACTATAGAAATGTATCATTTAGATATTCTTATGAAATATTACTTAAAAGAAAAAAATGTTGATAAAGTTCTAAGTGATTTAGTATGAACATTCGTCTGATGTATAATAATATTTTGTTTACAACAATTTATTTTCCGCTATAAAAATATATGTAATATCAGATCATGTATTTGACAGTGGCCAAAAACATCCATGTATTATTCTTTTGTGGCTTGTTTTTATGTCTATTTCTAAATACTATATTTTGTGTTTATGTCTTATACTAAATACTATCTTTTGTTTTTATGTCTAATACTAAATACTATCTTTTGTTTTTATGTCTAATACTAAATACTATCTTTTGTTTTTATGTCTAATACTAAATACTATCTTTGTTTTTATGTCTAATACTAAATACTATCTTTTGTTTTTATGTCTAATACTAAATACCTATCAAACGTAATTACTTATTGTAATTTTATACACTGCTAATTTTTGTAATGAGCAAAACAAATTTTACTACTTGCCAGCCAAGTTTAAATTGACTTACCTAAAAAGACCTGGTGGTACAATTCAGTAGGCACCATAAAGGTGGGCGACCATGAGTGGGGTGAAAGTCTTCCCATGGGGGGACAAGCAAATTAATTAAATTTGATATCCCCTATATATAAACATATTGGCTTTACAAAAGCACTTGATTGAAGCTTTCTCTTAAGGTGCCCCTCACACATAAACCACGACCTTACTGCGACCTGAAAAACTAGTAAATAGCATTTTTTCTTTTCGAAAATCGTTGGTTTTTCTTTCAAATTTCTCTCTGCAGACGGTCCGGGGCTCTGCAGTTTTGTGTTCAGTACGTTTTCTCTATGTCCTCAATACGACCCTTCTACCTCCATGGCGTTTCCACTGCGACTGTATTGGGCGTCCCCAAAGGCGACCCACGGCGATCATCGGCGACCCAGCTGCGGACTGTGCTATGTTCTCTGCGACCTTACGGCGACTCTACAACGACTATTGCATTTGTCCGGCGACTGTCCTGCAACTGTACGACGACCCTTCTACGTTCTTGCTACGTCTATAAAAACAATACTTTTTACCAGTAAATTTCATTCTGAGTCTGACCTTACGGCGTCCTTAGTACGAGTGTACTACGTCTATTGCGTTCTTATTGCGTCCTTACTACGATGCTGCTGCGACTATGGTGACTCCACTGCGATCCCACGGCGAACCTAACCAGACTCAGCAAGAACGCAGAAGTTTCTGGCGACTGTTTTGTGCATGTTCAAAATAGTCGCCGACGGTCTTGCGACCTTGGGTTCCTCCTTGCGTCCACTGCCCTGCGTCCATGGCGAACTGTCCTGGCCGTCCTAGGTCGTAGCAAGGTCGCAGTAAGGACGCAGTAAGGTCGCAAAAGGTATGTGTGAGGCAGTATTAGTGTTATGGTACCCTCAAAATAATAAGTGAAATTGAAGTTGGTAATCGATATAAAAATCCACAAAAAATAAGCAATTGTCAATAAGCAAAATTAGGCTACTATAGTAAAGCTAGGATGTCCTTTGAGATAAAACAACATTAAGATATTATTTTGACAATGTGTATAATAAATGTCATATGGTCACTCATTTATAATACATTAATGACTATTATTAAATTCATGAGCAGTGAAGTAGGAAACTTTTAATGTTCAATTTATCAAATTCATTTTCAAGAATGAACATAATTTAAATACTAATTCCCATTAAAATTTTATTTGGCACTACATGTAATTCTGAGATGTACATCATTTAATTTAAACTTTTGATTGGAATCAGACTTTACCAAGATCCCAAAAACTAACACTAAAACATTATACAGTATGTTTATCATAAACATCATTTTCTTACTATCATTTAGAAATTCAACAAAGCACTTGTAAAAATTCTTGCCAAAAACAAAAATTTTGCTTTAAAAAATGCCTGTTTTTATCTAACAAAGGGCCATAACTCAATGACCCCCAATGTGGATTAAATGTACCTCATTTTCCTATTCAAATTTACAGTTATGCCCAGTTTTATTAAATTTGGATAAAATAAATTTTAATACATGGATCACAACAGATGATGGGCAGACAACATCAATTTTTAAGGATCTCCCTTTTGAATTTATATATAAAAAGTAATAAATTTATTCTTGTATCCCACTGACCAAAGGAACTATTGTCAAATAAATGGAAATGTTTCAATGGCATAATTAAAGCTTCAGCTATCAGATGTATCTACTATAGCCTATAGGCTACTGACGGCAACAGATTTTACCCATGCGACCAGTACAGACCAAAGTCAGTGACGGCACATGATTCTGCACCGTCTGACCATAGTCTTCAAGGTTTGCTACTTTAAGAGTCTGTACATATTATGAATTTTTCTCTTCTTTTTTTTTAACCATGAAGACTGGTTTTATTCAGACTGAAAGATTAACATCCATTTTAGATAGTATAGCTTGATAAGGGTTAATTTTAAAGGATATGGTCTTATTAATTTTTTAAACTTAATCAAATTAACAAAGAACCAACCTTTTTTCTCAAAGTCATTCAATAGCAGTTCAACATTCTGTTCTTTGCTTCCTTGGTAATTTATTACATGAATTTCAGCGCCTGATTTTCTTGATGTTGCGTTGGTCATGCATCCCGAGGTCGGGAGAATCTCCGCCTCCAGAAAGGCAGAGGCCAGATCAGGGTTAAATGGAGAGCTTACTTTGCACGGCATCTCTGAGAGGCGCCATCGTCCTGTAAATAAAAGAATGATAACATATTGAGCACTTGTCGGAACAATATCTTCCTTAATATTTACTAGCTTTGAATTCAGACCATTTAAACATTGCCCATTTTAATAACAAAACATTTATTTGTACACAATATGAACAGTATGGAATTTGGTCTGACAGACTAGAATTGCAATGCCAGGGCCTAATCCAGCAGGCTTCTTATTTTCTCTATTTATATTTCAGGAGATTCTTATTTTCTCTATTTTAGTGTGAAAGCTTCTTAAACAGGCACACAATTTAAACACAATGTACTTTACGTGAAATGAATGAAAATATCAATCTGTTTCAAACGTCATTGAATTCCGCATAATGTTTCAATTAACCTTTAATCTTATTACTTCGTAACCAATGTTGATAGATTGTTCATTTCCAGTAAGATGTTTGTATTAAAAATTTTATACCAGTAATAAGACAGCATTATTTGAATTTTAATTACTGCAAAATTGTCGAGGAATTTCAAATTTGTAGAAAATTTCAATTGAAGCTTTATCATTCATGATCAAAACAGATTTTTTTCTCAAATATCAAAATTCTATGACTTTACAGGGATATAAATCTGAGCCTATATTACTTTTCCAGGTAAACATTGGTAGCAGAAACGGGTTTGTGTGGTTTCATATATAGCAATATATATACATATGTCAAATAAAAAGAAAGTACACCCAATTTTTGTAATATAGCTTTTGCAATACTTTCATTAAGCCTGAAGTACTCTTTCATGACACGGACAGCATAAAGTTGAATATTCATGACAGATATGTCAATTAATGTTAGCAGCTTGGCTTAAAAACTAGCTAATACTATTGACTTAACACACTGTGTACTAAGCTTATATTACATTTCGATATTTTCGTGAGAAAATGCACGTCAACACAAAAGGTGTCACGATGAAATACTTCAAAATCATACAAGAAGAAAAAAAAAAAATCCAATAATTATGTATTTTAATTAAAGGAAAACTACTTCAAAAGTGTCAAAAGTAATACAAACACAAAACATAGAACAAAAACTTTTGTACGATTTTAATTTCGTACCAAAGAGTGTCATCAAAAGAAATAATTCATAAATTATGTTCAAGAGTAGAGATCAGTAATCAGTCAAATTTGCCATATAATAAACAAACAACCGTGTTGAGGTATTGGGTGGTCTTTATTAATCTACAAAAACAGCTAAATGTCATGTAGAAAACCTATAACATTTCTCTAAAATCGGCTTTACAACCTGGTTAAAAAAGGTAAATTAACCTTATGATAAATACAGAACGACTGTGTCAATACTGTCCTATCCCGTACCTTTACATGATCTCACATACCCCAGTATCAATGAGAAATCCCGCCAAAAAAACAACCACACAATGAATGGTATAGGAAATAGCCTGATATCGGTCTACATCTCCGGTACACCATTCATCTAATTACATTGGTTTCTATTTTCCACATTCACATTTTCCCCGTAGTTCATCCAGTTCAAACTAATTGAACTTCTGGGTATCGAAGAAAAAACCATGACTGAGGCAAATACTTGATGCAAAAATAGATCATCCATGTGTTATATAATTAATTTATTATCATATAACGACTTAATCATTTTTTCTTCTTTTAATTTTCAAGATCATAATTTGAAAATTCAATTCATTTAATAAATCTTTATGAAAATTTTCTTTTCCCTAACAGAAAACTTAATTTTGCTATACCACTAAAGAGAATAATTTTGTCTTTTGAACACTGTCAATTATGTCCAGCACAATGAAATCAAAATACTTTTAATGTTTTGAATAAGTATGAAAGCTAAACCGTTTGGATGCATCATTACATGAACCTAGCCTGCAGTATTAAAATGTCATTGCTTAATAATAATGAACAGAAACCCTTAATTAACGAAGACATATCTAATAAACTGCTGATTTATAATCTAAATAGATTTATCCTGCGGCCTCCATTTTGAAATAATCCATGCTGTTAATTTTACTAATATCATGAAGAACTGAAGTCAGTCGGAAGGTTAGATTTCATGAAACTAAATGCTAGTAGCCTATCAAGGCTCTATACCCTGGTTGTTTTGGTTGTCAGCACAGTCAGGTTTTTGTTATGACATCAGTATTTTGTTTGATATTCTACATCGACTATACCTGAGACTGTCAATCATACAGGAAATCGGTGCATTATTTCACAAACAGGCACCTGAGTAGCTCAGAATCTAGCCCATATAAAAGAATCCAGAGTCCCTGGCAGGATTCAGCCATACAGCAGTATGGGGCAAGTGGTCTGAAGTCAACAACCTTAACCACTCAACCATGGACAACCTTGAACATATAAGGGTCTGTCATGGTTTGCAAATGATACAATTCAACTATATATTATATTATAATGTTGTTTAATATATTTCAGATTTATCAAAATACTTTAAATTTGAATGAAGCCAATGGAGAAGTCTGTATATCAAAGGCAAGTCATTTTCATCAGTTAATTTTGCATTTGATTGATTATAAAATTACATAGAGCCTATTAAGTTTTATTTTATATGAGAGACCACCTGAGGAAACAGACAACCTTTACAATTTATACAGACCGGTCCTTATGCACAGGTTATGCATTAAACATTATGCATTTAAAACATATTAAGGTATTAAAGGCATACAAATACTGAATGAAAAGCTAAAAATTTTAAAAACAGGTTTGCATCAGGATAATATTTTTTATATTATCTATGGTGTAAAATAAACCCTTAAATTCTGCTACATTTTGCATAAAATATACCAAGTGCCACTTGGATTGTGATTATAATGTAAACATATTTCTTCAAATATTAAAATTCATTTCTTTTTTTCCCCAAAACAATTATTAAATATAAGATGTGTGCAGCTTTAAAGCATTGTTGAAAATAGGAGTTCACATCTTGATAAAGCTAATTCTATTTATAAATCTAACTTAAATTGTTTAAATATATACATGTATGTTTTACAAGAGGTATAAAAATGTTAAAAAAAATTACAATCTAAAAAAATGTAGATCTAGATTACTTTTTTCCCCAATTTGATCCAAATTATTTTAAATGTTACTTAAAGTATAGCTCTAACAATTCAATTATTGTTGAGAAATAATTACTAAACCTAAGGTCATTGTATTTCAAAATAAAGTTTATAAAGCGGAATAATCCGCCAACAATTTCCATTGACCTTCAACAAATGAAGAATCAAGTTTATCCATTAGAAGTGCTTGTTTAGTATCAAATGTCAATCACTTGTTGAGAACGAAATTCCTGGGTCAATGATTCTTTACACAAAACATGTTATCGAACATTTAAGGTCACCTATTTAGGTTATCTTTCTTAACCAATTGCTAAACAGTGTAAAGAATTTTTAACCTGCGGATTTGCCTGCAAACTTGATGAAATTTTTGCAGTTTTTTTATTGAAAGGTGATGATTACACGGTATAACTGAATTTTCCGGTATCTTATCAACTCCGCAATTTACATCCTATGTTTATCCAATGTTGATAGCGGAATAGCAGTGTGAGCAAGCATCGGAGCTTGCATTTTCCTCTATAGCAAAGAACATCTAAGAGGGTACACTGGGTAGATCATTAAACAAGCAGATTATGTCATAACCCCGTCACCTTCCTTTTCTCTGCGCCAAATTTCCTGTTCTTATATCCTGTATGTACATCAAGATGTCACAACGACATAGGTACTCTTAAAACACAGGTATGTCAAAGCCAAACATTCAGAACATAATCTTTTTTCACTGAATTAAAAATTATTACAGTATCTTGTCAAGTTTAATATTTCATCATGTTCATGTTAAACATTAATTTTTGCATACTGGTACCCAATAAATGTTATTCGGAGCCAGGCAAATGTGGGTTTTTCCAAGATAATCCCCCATCCACCCATAAAAACAAACTTTTACTGTTGCACTATCGGTCACAACAGATTAGTTATGTTGTGCTTATTTTTGGCACTGCAACTGTAAAAGTGTGTTTGTACCCCCCGAATTAGCTGGGAAAATCAAAAATATTCTAAATTTTGGAGTAAGTCTTATATGACAGAATTAATTATATCACTTGTAGGATTCGGGCCTACAGTGTTGAAAGTCAAGCATTTTTCATAGATCAGTTAACCAGGTTATCACAATAATTTGAGAACCCTTAGGCTTGTTCAATCATGTCTTCGCCATATTAAACACAGATGTGGATACTTCTAATTTCTGACCTACGGGGTATCCACAAAAACCACAAAAATTAGTGCCCCACAAATGATAATGAATTTCCAGTATTTCAGGCATGATCGGGCACCAATAGTGAACCAACAATTTCCCCTTATCTACCTCCTTCACATTAATGAAACCAAAGTCCCTGATTCCAACTCACAGTGATTTGCTTCCGCAACTTAAACCACCTGTCAACAGAGTCCTGTAATCTTAAATTGCATCCATTTTGTTTGACCATTATAAAGACTTATACCTCATCGTAGACCAAACATTATTCTGTCACATGCTGCTTAATAAGCATTTAAAATATGCAGCATATGTTTGTTACATATAACTACATGACTGTACATAAAAAAAAGTTGTACAAGAATGCTATTTTTTTGTCTATCTGAAGACGGAACTTTAAATCATAAGACACAAAGTTTATTTCCTGGAAAAAAGGCTGGAAAAAATAGATAACAGGTAAAAACATTGTGATAATATTTGCAGCTGAATTAGTCAGTCGTCAATTAACAAGAACTGTTGGAAACCATTTCCTGTACATTTAAAAACAATCGAAGACTTCTTGTACAAAATTCTACAAATTATTTTTTACGAAGCTAAATAATGTCTCATAATGAAGCTGTGACTATATATTTGTATATTTAAGCCAATGTAAGTATTATTTTAAATCTATGCAAATAATTGTTTTTTTTTAAATGAAGTAAATATTTACCATATCGCATTTAACCCTTTACCTCATATATACGCGAAACAACGCACTTTCAACCCCCCCCCCCTT